CAGAATTTGTCATACACATCTGGTAATAACTCTGAAATTATGTATGTGGAGAGACCCTAAACGCAGCTCTGACGAAGCACATTGAACAGCGGGATGATACTCTGTTCCTTACTAGATGGTTCTGTGTTAAGGTATTTTGACGTGTATGTCCTACGGAGAGTATTGGAGTATGATGGCTAAAACAAGGATGGAAGTGGTGCTCCAAGGGGAAAATTCTTCTCTTGCTATTGTTGTCTAACCATGGTTACTAAACAGATATGAATAATTCTATTCCCCTATTTTCTCAGGAATTAAACATATCTTGTGAAAGAATAGAAGAGTTGATATTAGTAGCCAGACAGACTCAGGAACAGTTTAACATGCAAATACTTACTCAGGATCCATTTGTACATGTTAGCGTACTGTACATAGTTCCATGGGCTGCTGTGGAATCACCCTAGGAAGCGTATTTCTATGTTAAGACATAAAGAGACAATTTAAGAAGTTTCTCTGAAAAGGCAAAAGCATTTTTTTTCATGTAGTTGACTTCAGCGTGTTTTTTTGTCTTACCATGTGAATGGCAAATTTTGTATTATTTTTAACATAACAAGGCCTTTTCAAAGGATTTAATTCATTCAGCAGCTGCAATAATTATTCCTGCAAATAGATCTATGAATAAGGACCATTTCTCCTACTAACGGATTAAGTTTTGATAAGTACAGAAACAAGGAACTGTAATGGCAACTTTTTGTCTGAAAAGGTGAAAAATAGCCTGGAGAAGGGGAAAACACCCTGAGAAAGCAAGAATTGGTCAAACTGCCATGGGCTGTACTAACTGCAAGAGCAGGAAAACAAACTGGCAAAATAAAAATTTACCTGAAAGAGCAGCAAACATCATCATCTACTGGCTGTTCCAGGTGAAAAACAGAAATTATCAGCACCCATTGGCTGCTAGCAGTCGTGGTGTCCTATGCCCTCTTACATCTCTATGATATAAAAAGGACTTACTTTTTTTTTCCAAAATGGAGCCTCTGTTCTCTGAGAACGTCCTGTGCTCCACGTACTTCTCCTTTCCTAAACTGGCTGAATTCTCTGCAGAAACTTTCTATGAGATCTTGGACTCTCACCAGGGATGCCCAGCTGACTCCAGGCTCTGTGACTGCGGATCATCTTTCATCTTTGAAGTGAGGCTCTGTGGCTTCACGGTCCCCTGATGGGACCACAGCTCGGACCACGGCTTGGTCTGAACTCCCACCTCTGGGATGGTCAGGTCCCCCTCTGGGATCGGGGTGTCCCTCCACTCCAGGATGGTCTGGCCCCTTCTGAAATCTAAGTCACCTGATATTGCTATTATCCATCCATACAAGTACTCTGTCGTAAAGTATCCGCCACTGTAGTGTTGGTAAGTTGCTTTGCTAATGGTATCTTTGTAGTAACCTGCAATAGTGAGTACCTCCTTGGCTGTTGCTGTCATTGGTTGCTGATATAATGCTGATTGTTGCTGTACAATCAATTGCTGCTGTTACTAATTGCTGATAGTAATTTGCAATAGCTTGAGACAGATATATGATTGCTTTATTAATCATAGGTACACTTGCTCGTGGTGATTTTTGTGGTAAAGTACACTTGCTAGTGGTGATTATTTTGCGGTAACCTGTAATGAAATAGAGAAATTGAAGAGGATGATGCCTCCATGTCCTCGCATATTACAGAGTCCCATGGACACATGGCTGCAGTCTCCATACACCTGCGGGGCTGGGTCACCCTTTAGACCAGCCCCACTGCAGTGCCGCAGGCCCAGGGGGGCTGACACAGCCAATAAGGCCTGTTAGTGTGCACGCAGGGCCCTAGCATCTACCATCACTGGCAATTCTGGTGTCAAAACCTGTAATTCCTCCGTCAGTCAGCGTGTCTGTTTTTTTTCAGTTAGGCTGGATTCACGTCTACCAACGTTAGCAGGGTTACAGTAGGGTAATTGTTTCAATTTTGTAGTTGTTCTTTAGCCCCAGCCAGAATATTCTCTCCAAGAGAAAAGGTGTTCAGACAGAATATGATACGGTGTGAGCAGCTGTGATAAATAATCCGTGGTTATCTCAGTATCAGCATTTAAAAAAAAGGAATTAAGAGTTCAAATGCAGTCAAGCTCGTCTGGGAAATAGCAGTGAGCTAACTGATGGGTCTTCAAATGCCTGTTTGGAACAAGGCGGTTTTTCTTCAGAAGAAAAAGGGTAAAACACCCTGGTTTCTACGCCGCGCACAGCCCAGCGTTGGGCTGCAGTGCTGGGCCAGAGAGCCGCGTCCGTGGGGCAGCCCCTCAGCCTTGTCGCGGCTCACCTCAGCAGGCCCAGGGCA